TTTGTTACGACTTTTTTCCGTAATGTGTACTCGCGTAACGAATGTTTTTTGCCACGCCACTTTTCGTAACTATTACGATCGGTCAACGCTCCCTGAAGTATGGTATTTGTTACGATGTTTGTTACGAATTTTCTCTCGTAACGAAAGGTAGATCATTCCGCGCGTGTGGCAGGACTTTTAGTTACGGTATTTGTTACGGAAGTTCCTCGCGTTACAAGTGTTTTCCATTGACCGGTTGTCAGAACTTGGTTTTTGTTACGACTATTTGTAACGGCATTGAACCCCGTAAAAAAAATATTACCTACTTGTAGTCACGAAACCGTCTGTAACAACAAATATCCAAAGACCACTTTTTGTTACGATTTTCTGGCCTTTTGTTACGGAAAAATAGCGTATTGTGAAAAACAGGGGGTACGCTGCAATTGAAATTGTTCGTAACAAATGGACCTGCTGTGATGCGTATGATACGAAAATAAATTACGAATACAAAGATTGCTATAAACATCATCATCATTACGCCCCGCGCAAACATTAATTCATATTAAAATCTGAATTCCATACCTACCAACAAAGTAAAGCAACCCATAGAACAAGCCTACTAGTATCTACACATCAACAACCTGTTCCGCAAAACGTGCTTAACAGTTCAAACACAAGTAAACAACGCAATAAGCAAATACGGTTATCCATCAATCCCATTAGGCACATTTTTCACCATACGAATTCAAACCACAAAGGTCTACGCATCAATTCCAGACATAGTTCAACAAAAACTCAACACAATCCATCCAAAGACAGGTTCGACATTCAATCCATATGACAAACGGGGCAATTAACATGGGTGTATCGGTACCAACATTTCAAGCCCGGCGCATGAGCTGCAATTGCCAACACAGAGATTACTTTAAGTCATACTTCTTATAAATTTCGGAAGGCAATACAAGAAAGGTATTAAAGTAGATCCTTACGTCCTTGTAGCTCCACTCAATAGGATCTTCGCCGACGACATCGTGAAGGGTAGTCGCCCCAGAAATGGTCGGCAAAATAAGGGGTGTGTCCGGGACTGACGCGGATGTCACGAAGACCTTGACCAAGGAAAGTGTGAACATGATTACATAGGAACGCACAGACCCAAACTAAAAGAAACCTACCAAATCCAACCATCCAAAGCCTGAACATGATTACAAAAACCATAAAATCCCAAGCAATTCGGCTACTCAAGCCATACCAACCTCCCACAACTAGACTAGATTAACAACAAACCCACTCCTTGAGAATGAATACCTCCTATAACCAATATTGCACCAATCATCCAATCCATGATCTCCAAACCGCAAACTCAAGCGCAAGGATATAACAAGCCACCAACCAAAAGGAAGAATCAACCAAAGATCACACTTGATATGTTCAATCCTCAATGCAAAGCCAACAATAAAAAAATTTACCTCCAAGAATCAAAACTATAGATGAAATCCCATGATGAGAACTAAACTCACAATATCAAAACCAGAGATGAACTTCCACTGCATCTGCCAAAGGAAACAACAAATCAAATAATGGACTGCTTGGATCAATCCAGCCTCCAATTCCATGACTTAAAGAAGCATCAAAATCAAATAAAACAAAAGTCACCAGCAACTCAGAGTTGAGGAGAATACCAGTCTAGATAAAAAATAATGAACTGGAATATCAAATGGATGCATAAGAATCCAAGATTCTTCCTTCAATGTTGCACACCCGAAAAAGCATGCTGCCAACACCAACTCTGCACACCCCTCGCACTACTCAGTTACCTGGATGACTGTCAATCAAAATCTGATTTGAAGAACTTGCCTATGCACCAACCTATTCGATCAAAGACAAACTACCATACACCAATATCAGCCTCCAACTCCATGACTTCAAGAAGCACCAAAAGAAAATAAAACAGAAGTCATTGGCAACTCAAAACTGAGGTTACTACCACCCAAGATATATGCATGAAACTAACACTTCCAAGAATGATCACAACCAAATCGAACACAAATCACAACCATCTCACCAAAATTCTCACAATCTAGAGTGGCTCAACTTCCACACACAATCAACAAGAAAGAGCAACAAAGGCCAACAACCAAAACAAAATGCAAACACCAAAATAAAACAAGCCAGGTGAATGAGACATAAATAAACCAGAACATAGATTAATTGAATCATAAACCACAATCAATTTAAAGCTGAAAATTGACTCACAAGGCTGATGTAAAAATACTTAGAGAAAAATGTTTATGCTCGTTCTCTTATCTTAACTTTTCCAAATTTGCTTTGCTGGTCTAAAGCTTCTTCTTTAATTTAGCAAACTCCTATTCCAAGAAAATAAATATATATATATATATATATTATATTTCAAACCTTAGAAGCTACCCTGTAAGAACTAAAGAAAAGAGGAAAAATGCTAGAAGACAATACATGTATAATGAGAGTAACAAATATAATTCAATAAAAGACTTTAATTTGATGCCATATCACAAATAAGGAAAAGGCCCGCAGCGAGCTGATTTATTTTGTTATCTAATAAGAAGCCTACAATCTTATCAACTCGGAAGATATATATAGTTGGTTTTGGATCAAGGGGGAAGAAATTAGCCGAATGAGCAATTGATCGAGCAGGTGGAGTGCAAGCTGAAGAGGCAGTTACGGAAGTGTAAGTTTGGGGATGGAGAGAATACCTACCAAATCAACCCGAACTTCATACTCAAGTAACTAGTCAACACCATCAACACCGATGAAAATGAACAATAATGTACATAAAAATGGGGAAACAAATGAGAGGACAAATGACACTTATAGGGCTAGGAGGGTGAGGACACCTTCTCCGTCAAGGGGATAGGTGACCAATTGTCCCTGAAGAGGCATTGGAGATGGCGATTAAAAGTCATGACACCATTGTCGGCGCTCGACTCGTAGGGCGAAGGATAGGGAACCTTTTTGATTCCCAAAACTATAAGCGAATCAACCATAACAGATGGTCAACAAAATCGAAGGACATATCGAGTACCAAAATAAGTTGGTGGTGGCTCCTCAACTCAACAGTGGTGAGCTATGACGGCTGACGAACACCTTCGATTTCACCGGAAGGATGTAGGGCTTCGGAGTCGCAATGTCTATGAAGATGAGTGGAATAATTTTTGAAAGTGTGAATATTGTATAACTAAGGATATAAAAAGCATTTGTTTTTTTTTAATTTATTTTAATATAATTAAAATAAATAATTTTTTTATTAATAAAAATCATTGTTTTCCTTTTCTTTGAATTTATTTTAATATTATTAAAAAGAATAATCTAAAAAATAAATTTATACACCATTTGTTACGAAGCACAATCGTAACTAATGTTATTTTGAACAAAGTCTACCAACTCCGTTTTTGTTACAGATTAATTTGCGTAATTAAAGAACCTGAAACATTGACCAAGATAATATTTTTTGGTAACGAAAGTTGTCGTAACAAAAACCATTATTTGTTACGATGTTATTGTAACGAACCGTCAAGCCGTGGTGAAAGACCATTTTTTTGGTAGTGTAGGCTGGCGTGGCTCTCGCCCGGGTCTAGGCCGGCTCTGTGGACCGGTTCGGCGTGTTCTTGATCATTTCATTTATTGATTTAAATATTACTATCTCCGTCCCACATACCGTGTCTGATACACTGTAAATACGGTATTTTAGGAGAAATGTAATTAATAGATAATTAAGAATGTATTAGTGAAAATAATTATCCTATAATATAAATAATTGTAAATTAAGATTAAGATAACTAATTAGTTTAATTAAAATTAAAAAAAATTAAAAAATTTAAAATGAGATTAAAATGTGTAATTATTTTCCAAAAAAGAAAAGTGACATGGCACGTGGGACGAACAGAAACGACAATGTGGACATGGTATGTGGGACGGAGGGAGTATTATATTTAGGGAATGAAGAGAAAAGAAGAGAAGAACGATTATCCGCATGCATGCGGATAATGGTTAAATTAATAATTACATGAGTACGTAGACGAGCTGCCACCTAACGCATTAATTAAGTAAATGATAGTAATAATAATATAAAAGAAGCATCGATGGGGATGGATGCACATGCATGCACGCACCAAAAGTCGTACGTGGGATCGCTTACACACACATATATAATATATATATATATATATGGAATGACTTCTGTACTTCTTTCGAACAAGATAGATAGATCGGTGGGGCGTTGAGGGATTGATTAATGATTAATAATAAATTAAATTAAATTAAAGTAAAACAGAGGCCAAAGGAAGAGGAAGAAAGACTCATCTCTCTCCAGCATTAAGGTGGTTGAGGGTTAGGGAGATCGAGAGAGGGGGCATTAATTAATTATTTATTAATTAAGGTGGAATGGGACCCCTCCCTCCTTTCCTATTCAAATAAAGTCAGAGTCAGTACTCCACTCTACGCGCATTGTCAAACTTTTACAACTTTGATTATACAAACCGGGCCGAGGACCGGACAATACATACATACAATCGGTGAGTGAACAAGGGTTTCTCTTAGGAATGGTGTCGGTGTCAACATAATCCTGAAAGATCAAAAGAAAATAGATTTTTAAATATTAGTATTATATTGAATTGTAGTGAAAAAGACAAACATACCCCTATTAGTTGATGTAATACAAAAGTAATGATATTTGTGTAATATATTGTAAATTGAAATGGTAAGTAGATAGTACCATCACTAAATTAAGAAATAATAACTTTATTTTGAGACGAAGAAAAAAAAAATTATAAAAAATAAAAGAAAATAGTACTTATTTAATTTTAATAAAAATGGCAGTAGGCACATGACAGAGTTTTTTTAGGCTCAGTGCCTCAACTACATGCATTTATTAAAGGATGGGGCCACAGCCACCAGCTTCCTCCTCCGCTCCAAATCCATTCGACATGCATATTGCATACTACTACATTACATTAAATTAAATTAATTCCTTGTCGCTCTATAAATTCACTCACCAATCATCTCTCGCTCAGAGCCCACAACTCATCCCATCCATCACCACCAGTTACTAATTACATATATATACATACATACATACATACATTGGCCATAGCTGTAGAGCAGGTAGCTTGTATCTAGGAGTTCATTGGATTGGATCCATGGCGGCTCTGAGGAGTTACAATAATGCTTATAATGCCAATGCAGCTGCTGCTGTTCTTCTGGTTGCGTTGTTGGCGTGTTCATTTGTAGCCCAATTTGACACTGCTTGCGCTAGGGATCTCGTTCAGAAGGATAATCTTGGATTTGGCGGAGGATTGGGAGGCGGAGGCGGCGCCGGTGGAGGCTTTGGCGGTGGTAAGGGCGGAGGATTTGGTGGAGGACTCGGAGGCGGACATGGGGGCGGTGCTGGTGGTGGATTCGGTGGCGGAGGTGGTGCTGGCGGAGGATTTGGAGGCGGAGGCGGTGCTGGAGGTGGATTCGGGGGAGGACATGGGGGCGGTGCTGGTGGAGGATTCGGTGGCGGACATGGAGGCGGTGCCGGTGGGGGATTCGGGGGAGGAGCTGGAGGTGGTGCCGGCGGAGGATTCGGGGGAGGATCCGGGGGTGGCGCTGGAGGAGGATTCGGCGGCGGACATGGAGGCGGTGCTGGTGGAGGGTTTGGGGGCGGAGCTGGAGGTGGTGCCGGCGGCGGATTTGGAGGCGGCAAGGGCGGTGGATTTGGCGGGGGCAAGGGCGGAGGGTTCGGGGGAGGCGCCGGAGGTGGTGCCGGCGGCGGATTTGGAGGCGGTAAGGGTGGTGGATTTGGCGGGGGCAAGGGCGGAGGATTTGGCGGAGGTGCCGGTGGTGGATTCGGTGGCGGCAAGGGCGGAGGGTTTGGCGGTGGGGGTGGAAAGGGTGGAGGAATTGGCGGAGGTGCCGGCGGAGGCGGCGGATTTGGAGGAGGCGCCGGCGGGGGATTCGGTGGTGGCAAGGGCGGAGGATTTGGAGGCGGCAAAGGTGGAGGGTTCGGTGGGGGCCACTAATCGGATCGGAACTCAATCCGATCGTACGGCGGCCGTACGCATGCTACTTCAGCTTGTTCTTCTTGATCACATCCATCCATCCATCCGTATACCAACACTAGAGAAATAAATAAAATATAAAATGATAATGATCATTAATTAATTAAGGAAAATGGAAGTAATTAAGATTAAGGAGGACATGTCGTGCATGTTATCAGAGAATTAATTAATTTATAATATAATATAATATAATATAATTAATGCAAGGAAGCTAATTAAGTGTGCGTGCATGCATAATGATATATGTTCGCGTACATCCGCTTTCTTTCTTGTACTCTGTTTTGTACGTGTAACCGGCCTGCCCTGTAATTTGGGTTTTCCTGCTATATGTTATTCTCGGATTAATGAAATAATGAGCCTCACACACACACACACACACACATTATATATAAAAAGATGCAGCTGATGCATCAATCATTATCAGACCAACCAGCAGTAAAAATTTGGAAGGACAAAAATATTAATTATTTTTTTATCGATTCAATATTATTATTATTTTTTTTTGATAATTTTTTTTTCTAAATTTTACTATTTGTACTCTATATTTTTTTTTTCACAAAATATCTCATCAAACATTATTCTAATACAAAATCCAAACTATTTTATCTCAAACTTAATCAAAGAAACACACCCTTAATATTTTAGAAAAAAATTCAACAAAATTACAAAAAATTTAAAGCTAAAATTGTAAATCAACAAATGAACAAAATTTTTATAATTTTTTACATTATAAGATAAAATATGCAAATTACTAAAAATATATATATATATATAATTTTATTATTTTTACCCTAAAAAATACATATATTTTGGAAATTGAGGTCAGCTGTACTCTAGCCTCCATGTAGATTCGCCTGGTACTCATCAAGGGTGTTTTTCTTTTAAGTGGGTTCGTAGAAAATCGGTTTGAGTTTAAATTTTAAGATGAATTTAAATTTTTATATTTTTTTAGGTTAGTAGGTTTGATTTGGGTTTTAGAATTTTTTTTATATTTATTGATTTGATAGGTAATAAATATGTTAATATAAAAGTATAATATATAATATATATAATTTTTATTAATAAAATTAAAATATATGAAATAAATAGTGAATTGTATTGTATAAATAGTTTTTAAAATTAAAATAATAAAATTATATAAAAAAATAGTATGAATTTTATATTATCGACAAAATTTCTTTATAATTCTTATAAAAATATATTTCTTTAAACTATTTTACAAAACAAACAATTTCATAGTTTTTATTGGAGAATTAAAGAATATATATATATATTGAAAAGAAAAAACAATAAAACAAAAAATAACAAGTAAAATAGCCATTACTACTAGTAAAAATGGTTGATGGAAGAAAAAAAGACTCATAGATTTAGATTTGCCCATTCGGTTTCGACCGTCGGTTCGAACCGCCAGCAAACCGCAAACCGTTGGTTCAAACAGCCGGTTTACGGTTTGAACCGGCGGTTTAGTTTTTTTTTTTATATCTCCCACCGTGGCAGAAGCAGGCCGCAGGCAGGCGCATAGAAAAAGAAGAAGAAGAGGAAAAGAGGAGAAGGACCGAGGTCAGAAGAAAAAAAAGGAAAGAAATGAGAAGAACTGAGGAAGAATGAAAGAGGAGGGAGAACCTGTTTGTGGGGGCTCAGGCGCGGCTGCGGGCCTGGGGCGTCCGTGGAATGTGGATGAGATGCCTGATTAGACATTAGGGTTAAATTATGTGTATTTTATGATAATATCATTATATTTATAATTAAAATTTAAATATATAACAATAATAATATTAATACATATAAATAATTATTAATAATTTTGAAAAATAATAATACTATTAATATTTTTTTATTTATATTTTATAATTTTTATTATATAATTATATATAATTTAAATTATTTTATTATCTATTACAATATTTTTATAATTTAATTATTTACTATATTTATTATTTTAATTATTTTTATATTGTAAAAATTTAATTAATTATTTATATATATGATTTTTATATAATAAATAAATAATAAATATATCTAAATCAAATTAAAATGAAACTTAATTTTTTTTAAATAAAATTTAAATTTTTAGAAAAATAGAAAATAAAAAAAAATATTAAAAATGAGTATATATAAACCGGCGGTTCAAACCGTAACCGGCGGTTTTTAAACCGAAACCGGTGGTTTATAAACCGTAATCGAAACCATCAAATCGTAACCGAAACCGTCATTCGGAAGGTTCGGTTTCGGTTTGATATTTTGACAAACCGTAACCGACGGTGTGTAATCATAATCGGCGGTTTGAACCGTTTGAGCAAGTCTACATAGATTCTTGATTAAAAAAACTAAAATTTAAAATTAAAAAAAAAAAAAAAAACACTTTTTTTTCACTATATTATTCTAGGGAGAAGAATGTGTCGGGGTGGGGTAGGCGAAGTTTTGCGCCTATTCACACATACACAGTAACTAGAACCGTTTCTGACATGTCAAGGGCTCAGAGCGAGACTTAAAACAAGGGTCCTAACAAATGTTTATCTATTTAAAAGTTCTCTATAACTATAAATTTTGGAACAAACTTAATTGAAAAGAAAATTAGACAACAAAAAATCTAATTCTAAAAATTTTACATCAACTCTACATTTGAGATCATATCATCAAATTCATTGGACTTATATACTTTTTTCATATTTAGGTTAATCACCAATTTTATTACAAAACTTTATTACAAGAGCTATTTCCATCGCATGCCTACAAAATATAAATAAAAATACATAATATATTACATAAAATTACCCCTCCTAATATTTTTAGATGCAAAATTATTAATAATATTGTTAACTACAATAGTTTATAGCATTTCTTTTCAATAGATAGCATATATAAATCATTTAATCTTTCTTGATATGTTAAGCTCAAATAATTTTTAATTATGTTAATTAAGAGAAATTTCTTTTAGCAGATGTTAGTGTTTTATAAAATGTTCGTAAAATTCGATATGCAATTGAAACATTTGAATAACAATAATTTGCTCTAACATATTCAAAAATTTTAATTGGTTAATTTAAGTTATTCCATAAAATAACTTGTAAAACTTTTAATTAGTAACAAAATATTTTAAATCACCATCATATTAATCATTATGAGATAAAAATATTTGAAGAAACAATACAATAGTTTCTGAACTTATTATAATTTAAGGATTTAAGTTTTTATTTATTAAAAAAATAAAAATAAAAATCTTAAAATACTATTAAATTTATATAATTGTTTGAATATCTCGTTTAAGGATGTAATAGACATATCTATACACTAACTAAAAAATAATTAATTTTAAATTATTCTTCGTCAGATTGTATTATACTTTCATTTTTTATTTTCATATCTAGCTTTCACAATTCTGTTTTTATTTCTATATATACATTCCTTTAATATAGTATAGAATATATATATATATATACACACACCAAAAGTCATAGAATTTTGGACCCCTACTGAACTGGGCCCTAGGCGGTCGCCCTCATGGCCCAACCCCAGAGACAGCTCTGGCAGTAAAAACACAATATATTTTTTCAAAATTGTGTAAAAGAAACATATTTCAAATCCTTAGTATCACCCCTCTCCACCCAACCCTATTGTCCAAAGTGATATATATACATAACTTATATATATAACTTGTATATATATTTATATATACAAGTTATGTTTCCAACATGTTAGTTTTAAAGTCTTCTTCTCCTTCTCCGCTGGATCTACTCTTATTCCTTTCATTTACAACATAACCTCAAGACCATTTCCACCCTTCAAGTCTTTTCAATCCAAATAATAAAACAAAACATAAGAGATACTTAATTTCAACTCAACATGCATTCATGTCACATAATCTTCCGAGGCTATCAAATTTTCGGCATTAACACTGAAATTATTCCATCCAAGAGGAATCCAACTAAAAAATAATTATCCATGCAACTTTATCTCTTTGACTTACAAGCTCAAGCTTATAGATAATGTCTTTTTATTCAATTAAATAATTGTTTTAAATAATGTTTCAGAGATTATTGGTGAACGCACATACCAAGATCCCATCGTAGCACTTCGAATTGATTCGGATCCAAGATCTTAATTAAAATGTCTGCCAAACGCCTTGCTGTCTGCATGTATTCAAGGATGTACACTCTATTTTCTAAATCTTCAACAACCTGGCGATGCGATTATAGGCATGGATAATTAACTATTCTACCGTACTTCTGCAACCGTGTCGAAAATTTAGCTTAAACAATTCAAGTGTGAACATAAAGAATTTGAGTGATGGTGTGGAGAAATATGATAAGAATTTTATAAGCTAAAATAAAATGCAAGAATTAAAAGAACATGGTGAGAGAATCAACTTGCTCGCAACACAAAATTTAAAAAAAAAAAAACTCATTATTAAATTAGGCAGAAGTATGAGAGAGAAAAAATGGGGAAAATGGAGTGCTTTGGTGTATAAAATGATGAGTTGTGTGTATGGTGTCAAGTATTATGATATATACAATGAAATAAGGTATTTACAGGGAAAATAAAAGCTTTTAGAAGCTTGATGGATACAACGACGCGTAAATAACTACATATAAAACAATTACTAATAACTATTTAAAAATTTCTAACAAATATCTATCTTTTAGAAGGTTATAAAATAAAATAAAATAAAAATAAAGCAACTAAGAATTGGATATGTATAGTGCATGAATTAAATAGAACAATATGGAGGAATGTGGAACAGTAAATGCAACAAGAAATTCTGTGCAAAATTAATGTTGGCGCTGATTGGTTTAATGCAGCAATAATTCCGTGCGAATTAATTGCAAGAAGAGTTATGGCTCGAGGACTTTTACGTTAAAATTAAATATTTAAATATCACATAAATACTCAAGAAATACATCAATTAAACTAATTTATACACCAAAATAATTATAAAATATACTTAAAAATTATTAAATTAATATTTTACATACATGATGCAATAAATATAGTTATTAGAATATATTAACATAAACAATATCAAAACTTGACATAAATATATAATTATTTAAATAAATATATGTTATAAAATATATCAAAATCAAGAGTTATCATGAGATTGCAAATATACCTTTATTTTGTTATATTTTGTTTATATAAATTTTGTCCATCTACATTCGCCCGCAATAGAAGAGAGGAGAAGCCTCTTCGATTTCTTATCTTGGATTGCAAAAATTGTCTCTTTCATCGGTTAGGTAGGTTCGTTTTTTTTTTTAGAATTTCTTCTATGGATGTTAAATTTTATGGAAAATTTTTGTCGTCGATTCGATGTTCTTTTCATTTCGGG